TGTCCCACCCCCCGAGCCCGCATCCCACCTCTCCCAACCTCACCTCCTCGCATTCTGCTCCCTGGAAGTAAACGTAGCTGTTGCACTCCCGGCACTTGGAAGGGGCGCGGAGCTTCCTCAGCCGATGCGTCTGCGCAGCCTTGGATAAGCCGATGTTTCGGAAGGGCCCTGTCGGAGCCGCCATCTCTGGGCTGATCCCGTGGATGCCTACGAGCAGAACGAAAAGAAACGCGTCTGCATCCTGGCTCCTGAGGAGGTGAAGCAAAGCCGGAGCAGGAGGGTCCCTGTCACAGCGCAGGAACCAGCCGGACGCGCTCGTTGCAAACCACCCGCGCCCGGGGGCCTGCAGCCCCCACCTGACTGTTCCCCCTGCTCTGGGCAGAGCTCGTCCCTCCATAAAGGCAACGCTACTGTGCTCCTCATGGGGTCACCGCCAGAGATCCGCCCAGCAACCGTTCGTTTTACCCCCAGAACTACTGACTTTGGGAAAAGGCACCCCGCGGTTAGCTTTGCCGGGGGGCAGGGGTGCCCGGCAGGAGCGCTGCGTCCCCTCCCGCGCGGTCACGTACTCTGCTCAAAGGAGGTGGCGTTCTCATCCTTCTCCTCCAGCTCTTCGCTGGAGGACATGGTGCCGTTGGACGAGAGCCGCTGGAGCTTGCGGCTGAATTCACCTGCCGAAAGAAAAGCCACAAGCCGGTGAGATCCCTGGCGAAGTTGTTTCTCTTCCGAGCGCGCTCTGGCGCGTGTGGCCGATCCCCACCGCAAGCCGTCGTGTGCCTCGCGCGGCCGGGGCAGCTCTCCCTGGAGCAGAGGAGAAACGGGGAGGTAGCAGGGGCTGTGCAGGGGAGCAGGCTGCAGCCGGTTGGGTGGTCCCTCATCCCATCCCCATCCCATCCCATCCCATCCCAGACTGGGATCAGAGCAGTTATTTACCACACAGCGTTATTACAAGGCAGATGAAAAACCGACAGATCCCAGCTAATGCTGGTGCTCTGGTTTTGGGGTGCCTGTACTGGGAGGGGAGGGACTGGCTGCCCTGGGCTGGTTTTGGTACCTGTGGTTGAATCCAGGCTGCTGTCAGCTTCAGCAACAGAGGTTGGCCAGGATTTATGGACCTGGTGTCCCCTCCCACCTGCAGAGGAAAACCACACAGTCCGTTTGAGGTTGCTTTCTGTGCTCGGGAGGGAAACACGGGAGAACAGCCTGGACTCTGGGAGACGCTTAAATTGCTGAAGGAGGCTGCTTGGTGTCCTGCTGACAGGCTGGGGAAGGGGCTGGTGGGGTTGTGACGCCTTCAGTAACACATCCAGCAAGAGAAAGAAGTGCTGGGGAGATGGAGAATAGCCTGTTGGGTAGCACTAGACAGCAAAAGCAAAAAAAAACCCAAACCAACTCCTAGATCTGATTTTGTGTCCTTCAGGAAATTCAGCTCGCAAGGCTTCCAGCCTGTCCTGCTGCCGGGATCAGCAGCCCCTCCCCTGCCACCCGTGGGCGTCCTGCTTTGCTCCTGACCCGGGGGGAGGACGCAGCTGCTGCGAGCGGTGCCGTGGGGATGGGGCTGCTCCGGGCTCACCTCTCCGCTCGGCCACCACAGCCCCGCCGTGCGGCTCCTTGGCTCCTGCCCCTCCTTCCGAGACGGCCCCGTCCTTGGCCAGCCCGGCCCCGTCAGAGCCGGCGCTCGTCGAGAAGTCGTTGGCGTTGAAGCTGCCTTTCCGCGTCCGAGTGAAGGGGGACCTGGTGGGCAGAAAGAAGGAGAAAAGGGAAGGTCCGAGCGGGTGAGGAGGAAGGACACTCGAGAACCTTATTCGTGGCTGCTCTCCACCCGTCCTCTCGTCAGTACTAGGCAGCCCGTCTCATCCATCAGAGGATGTGAGGGGAATTCCCAGCTGGTCCAGCCCCAGCTTTCCCAGCAGGATCTGCCTTCAGGCACGCCGAAAGCGTGCTGGTGCCCGCAGGGGAGCACAGCGCCAGCCCAGGGGAAGGCTGGCAGCGACAGAGAAGATGAGTGTAAACCAGGACTGGTTTCCCCCTCTCCTTTCCTACCAGGCGTTGTGTGACACGTAGGGCTCAAAGTCGTACTGGATGTCGGGTTCGTCTCCTCGCTGCAGCTGCCTGACGTGAGAGGCGTATTGCTGCCCGGGGTCATACAGCTTGCTGCTCTCGCACAGTGTCTGGAAGTTGACGGGCAGCGGAGCCGTCTGCATGTGCATGATCTGGTAGAAGGAGATGGTGGCCTAAAAACAACGAAAAGAGAAAACCAGACGTGGGCTTTGTGAGCTGACGGGCACGGAAGAGAGAGCCAAGGAGCTCCAGGTTAGATGAGACATCAGGAGCACGGAGCGGTGCTCGGCCTGCAGCCTTGAGCCTTGGCTTTTCAGAGCTCAAGGGAGTGGGGGAAGCTCTACATCCACCTGGACCTCACCCAAAATAGGGGCAGCGAAACCAGGTCTGCTGGGGCGGCAGCTCTGAACCTCTCCTGAGCAGGGTACGGCCACCCCCCTGCCCTGGAGGCCATCCCAAGCAAGCCCCACTCACCGTCTTCATGACCTGGTCGCTCTGTTTGATCACTTCGTGGATCTGCCGCAAGGAGTTCACCTTGGTATCCTCCAGCTCCTGCTTCTGGGTGTTTGCATCCGCGACACAGGTCCGATAGGTGGCCATCGCCTCTTCTGCCTGAGGGTTGGGAGAGCAAAGGATGGAAACGGGTTAAGGAGAACAAGGAGAGCAGCTCCCT